TTTCAAGGTGGGGTGATGATATGTTTAGAATAGTGATAGATAGTGAAGGGGCTTAGCCCTAAAAAGGTGTTTTTTTTAAAGGCTTAAGGTTTTTTAAAACAAAAAAAGAAAGCTAATATTTCCAAAGTTTTTTGGGTTTGGGAATTGTTGTGGTGGGGTGGGTGCGGTTTGTTTTCCCTCCAAAAAAAAGAATCCGCGGAGGATTTAAAACTTGGGGGGGCCTTTTTGGGTTAAGTCGAGATACCTTCCCCCCCCCAAAAGAAAAGGTCCACTTCCCCCTTCAAAAAGAGAAAACGGGGGGGGGGGGAAGAACTAAAAAAAAGGGGGGGGGGCCAAATTATTGTTAGCCTTTCCAAAAAAGGCCGCCCACGGGGGGGCTTTTCCCAGAAAACAAAAAGGGCGGGGGGGGAAAAAGGGGGAAATTGAGGGAAAAAACAAAAGGGGTAACCCAAGGTTTTGTTTTTGCCACTTTCTCCCTTTTAAAAACGGGGTGTTTTCCAATAGCTAGATGTGTTTTAGCAAAGAAGACCTGTTACCCGGGGAAAAAGAGAAACATTTTAAAAGAAAAGATTTACCCTTTTTCCCCCCGCCACGGAAGATTGGGGGTCTAATTTCTTTAATTTTAAATGGGGGGGGGGGGGGAAACTTGGCTTTTTTAAGAACCTTTTTTTTCCAAACCAGGGGAAAAACACCATTTTTGTGGTGGATGTGAACTAGATGCATGAGCAAAGTACCATATTTACCAAAACATGTTCTAACGGCCTACTATCATACTTACATTAAATGTGTTGGCTTTGCTACGGTCAAGTTCAGCATTCTCCGCAAGTGGTGTTGTTGGTGATAGATGTTAGGTTCGCTGTGTGTGTGTGTGTGTGAGTGCGCAAAGCATTGTGGGGATTTGAAGGACGCGAAGTCTACCATGTGGCCAGCCTCGAAGATTACGCCCAAAACCAAGGGGACGTGGCCTCAGTCGGGATTCCAAGTATGCTGGGAGATGTGGAACCAGGTCCCTTTGGGCGTCACTCGGAGTGGATGGACGTTAGTATACGATGAAATGTGGGGTGGGAAGCCAGTGTTGCCTCGTGCGGACGATTGAGAAACGAGGCGCACGAGTGTATGGATTGAGATGCGTAACTTAGAGGGCTGGTTATTAGCATGAGTGGGTATGTGCTTTACCAATGAGTTTGCAATGTGTGCTGCATATGTTTTGTGTGCAAAAATTGAGTGTCGGCGTTGCTGTATTATTAATATAGTCGGGGTCCTGGTGTTAGTAGTTGGTTATGTGCATATTGTCGCTGATGGGTTGGTCTCGTGTGTGCCGTGGGGGGGTACTTTCAAAAGTATTAAAGTTGAGATAAATCATTTAAGCGAACAAGAGTTGAAAATGAAGGCTATTAAAAAGTGTTAAACAGCATTTTCCAAGGTATTACATTTTGTAGCTTGTTTTCAATAAGTATATAAATTGTCCAAAGAGGTTGTATTCTACAGTCTGCCTGAATGTAATCATTGCGTAGGTGTGTAGTGTGATTCTGTGTAGTTTATTTATGGCATCCCTTTGGATTTGACGTCATCTGAACAGGAGATCGCACGCTCACTGCTTGATAGCGCGCAAAGCTCCGTTTACGCCGGTTGCTAAGCAACATCGTTATGGGGAAATGCAAGTCTGCGTCCAAATGGTTGGAAAATAAGGAGGAAGGACAATCAATACTGTATATAGTCAATGTGAGGTAAAGTGTGTCGCCAAGGTAACCGGTTAGAACTCCAAGTGGCGATGAGGCCTTAAAATGTATGGGAAGGGTCTTAAAAAAGGTCTTAAAAGGAATTACATCTGACTTCAGGATTCCTGCATATACCCTGGTTCTGTACCAACGGCCAAATGATCCTGGTTTCTGTTGTAGTTATCCAGATGGGTGTACTACAAAATGAGTTTAACGGTTTAGCAAAGTAATGTTACGGCGGTGACACTGTTAAACCGTAGATTGTCACGGTTCATATTGCTACAGATTTAATCTCCTTCTGACCGGTTTATGATTAGGGTTTTTGAATGAAGTCGGATTTAAGAAACACCTTTCGCTCATCACCATCCTTTTGGTGAATTGCGTCGTTAAAATAAACAGCTGAACTTATTCCTACGTATCCTTCCTTATGGGACAGTGCTATATCGCTAATGCAATTCTTGAATGAATACTTTGAAAATGTGATGCATCATATTGAGCTCTTTAATATGAGTAACTATTTAGTTTACAGCAAAAGTGTTGCTTTCTTCTGTTATATTTTTTAAAGTTTTCATTGTAGCTCTCCATTCTGACATATTTTCCGTCGATTTTGTGCGACAAAAGACCCAAATGATGCGCCAAACGTAGCACTTATATGTGAACATGCATATAGCCTCATGTAAATAAAACCTTAGTTGACAATGAAAGTAGATAACCTGTAAATAGGCTTATGAACTCTAGAATCAAATAATAATTCATACTTTAACTAACACTATTTCTTACCTGAATAGTATTTGGTCTTTGATCATGACTTTAGCCGCTCAGTCATTTAACCTTTTACCACTAAAAGTTAATACAACTGATCTTGGAGAACAATCATCTAACAACTACACTTTCTTGACATTTTTATTCTGACAAATTCTTTACTTTCCCTGTGTGACACATAATTGATTGGTGTTCAATGCTGCCTTGACCGTCTCCAGTATTTATGAGCTGTTAAAGGTGTTGTTTGTAACAGTTTGTGTGGAACCAGTTTGGCATTTCCTGTATAAAAGCAGAGCAGGTCTTTAAAGGAAATGTCCTCTCACTTGGATCCTTCGTCCCTGTCGCCTAACTAATCTTTACAGACTCACCTTTGACTCTTCAGGCAGCCTGTTTTATTCGGCAGCAGCGCAGTAAAATGCCCTTATTGGGATGTGAGAGGGAGATAATGAGGTATCTAATACAGCATTTCTACTTGTGCAAATCCAGTGGAGGAAGGTTTTGAGTTCTTTCCAATATTTCTATTTACATAAAGTCAGTGAAAACTGCAAAAATGAATTGCTCCCTAAAGTCTCCCCCGGACTCTGCAGAGCTCCACAGCCTGTCTCCTAGCTTGGTACAATTAGGGGAACATATACATAATATTCTTATGATGGCTTACTTAACCCAAAAGAGTCATTGGTTTTTACTTATTTCGAGCCAAAGCCCCAGAAAGTCTCGCCCTCCCACACATGAAAATGCAGAGAATGTGAAATGAGGCTCATTGTGATGGCAGTTGGAGTGAAGACCAACGTGATTGATTTGCCATAAAAATGTACCATTTTCCACTTAACAGGAGCCAGGGCTCTCCCTGTGTGGTTAAAGCCTGTCGAAATGTTACAACCATCCGTACAGGCTCTGAGGGCAGAGGGTTGATCAAGAAAAGTAGCATTTGGGAGGCTTTCTTGTTGAGAGTTAGAGAAAAAGACCACTGTGATGTTTATACGCTCAATATGAAGCTACAAGCTGGAGCCGGTTAACTTAGCTTAGCATAAGGACTGGAACAGCAGTAAGCAGCTAGCACTGCTCTGTCACAATTACACAGAGTTATGTGTACTGCCCAAAGTTTACAAAAAGAGATATGACGTTTATTTGGTGAGGTTTCACTGCGGATTCGTATATACACAATATGGCAAGCTAACCCATTTCATGTCTTTGTGCTAAGCTAATTTGGTGAGCTGCTTGTAGTAGCTCTTTATTTCTAAAGATAGTCAATCTTATGTGAAAAATATTTTTCTCATTCAATTCTGAGTAAGAAAGGAATCAAGCATATTTCTTATGTCGGAAGATGTCTTTAAAATGAGCAATTAAACAAGTTCTGGGTCTCACGTTCTTGACTAATATTTGCTGTTTTGAGGGCATTGGTGCATCCAAACGCGAAAATATAGCGAAATGTGTTGCATGACCCTGATGGTGCACTCATAATTGTCAAAAAGTTGATTCCGAAAAGTTATGACACTATCAATATCTTGGCTGCCTAACAGAAGTTACACAACCATTCACAATTGCGGTTGCAGCACAGCACAGCAGTATACGAATATAAGATATAAATATATATATAGGGGTTATATTTATATTTTGTTCACTATTTGAGTTATGAACCACTATACCAACACAGTCTCACGGCATTTTGTGTTAAAAGCATGTAAATAGAAGGAAAAACAGATAAATTTTTTTACAGATTTCAGTATTCTGACACAGAACGATTTTTAGAAGCAATGTATTTCTATTGGTAGTATGTTTCGTGNGCCTGCACCACGTCTTTTTGTCCGTTCGGGTCTTGGAATACCAATAGCTGTGTGGTTCATAAAAACATTTTCTTACTCAATATCTTACCCTAACCCTTTTATTTTAAATTGTATAATGTCGGAGTTTTCTTGCTGAGAAATGGCTCAGAGCCTCAGAATACTGAAATCTGTATTTTTTGTCATATTTTTTTCCTTCTAATTTGTTATTNACCAACACGATGTCGCATTTTTTTCGTCCATCCATCCATCTTCTCCCGCTTATCCGTGGTCGGGTCGCGGAGGTAGCAGTTCCAGCAGAGAGCCCCAAAGTTTGGGGCTCTCTGCTGGAACTGCTACCTCCGCGACCCGACCACGGATAAGCGGGAGAAGATGGATGGATGGACGAAAAAAATGCGACATCGTGTTGGTGAACACGAATCGATAGATTAAATTAATTTCGTGACTATAACACGAAAGGCCTTGAGACTGGGTTGACTATTCTGGTGTTGATAAGAACCTATTGTGATTTGTATAGTGTTAACTGAGCTGTCTATAATGATTTGGTACAGTTTGCTGTAGCTCACTAGCTAGCGGTCGTCATTTCCGGTAAGGGTACAGCGGGCGTGTGTGATTTGACTTTGTTCAAGGGAAGTATCTGAATAGAGACAAAGCACGTTCTTGACGATTGAAAACTTGACTCAGATCTTTTGTAAAACACGAAATTAACATCAAAATGTCCTTCTTTTTGTGATTGCAGCTCCTTGGAGATGATTGTTGGCTTAGAAAGTAACAGCAAGATATTTACTGTCAGCGTTCAGGGGCTGCTGGAGCTTCAGGTGAGCAGCACACTTAACAACACATCAACATTCAATATCTGTGTTCGTGTAATCTTTTCTTCATCACTGTTGTGTTTTATTTCCTCTGCAGGTCGGGCAGTACACCTCCATATTTGTGGACAACGCAGCCGGCGCTTCAATCACAATACAGAACGGTTCAGATTTTATGGGCATGCTGCTTGGTGTATAGCCCGGTAAAATGAACAGTGGCTAATCCAAGCCATTCCACTGCTGCCAATTTTATTTTTGTCTTTTTATATTTGTATTTCAACGGACTGCTTAAGAGCACCATCACACAGTACCAAACCACATGGGAGGTTTGAAGGAAGGAAGCGAGGCTGACATGGACTTGACTGCTTGTCAGATGGTGAGAGGACAGTGTGAAGAACTCAAGGACTGAGTTGGTTTTTCACAGTGCGACACTGCCACTCCCCTGAGGACTGTTACTTCACCAATAAAGTAACTTGAAAATAAGCCGTGAATATGTCTGTAACAGTGTGTGTTATCGTGCTTGTTGAAGGCCTTTGCAGTATCAATGTTATTAATGTTCCCTGGATAGATGTAGGAAGAGCTGGGGAACACTAGAAAGTACACTTGTGTTTAATGTATAGTGGACATGTTAATGCTTTTTTCTACATGACCTATGTACACATTCATGTTCTTTTTAATCATGGATTAAATCTCACATTTATAGATGTTATCTGGTACATAGACTGTGAGTACACTGGACAATGGAAACATGCTCAACAGAGAAAATACGGCTCAATGAGATGTTGTCCCACAAATGTAATTATTACATATTTTTAATATAACTATACCTTCATTTTTAGCCATGCTAACACCGTGGCAATGTCAGTCGTTCACACCAAAGTATCTCACAGCTTGTGCATGTATCGCAATGACATTTTGTAAGCCTGACATTCATGATCACAACAGGATGAATCCTACTGTCTTCACTAGAACTATAGTAGGCCACACATTTTGGTACCGACATTCATGTCCTGCTCAGGAAGAATAAGGGTTAAGGCTTGCTAAAAGACGAAGATGGTTAACATTATACAAGCAAAACATTGAAAGCGAGTGTGACCAAATAAGAGATGCTAGCATGTAGACGATTATGGCGTATTCACATTACAGTGGAAAAACAAAGGTGTTGCGTAATGTGTCTTCCGATAATGAGATCTGAGCCTACTGGAAATACTCAACTGGCCCTTTAGACTTTGCAATGGCGTCCGTGTGGTAGATTGTAATGATGGCGATTTAATGATGGCAGTATGCAGTACATTAAGAATGGGTATTCAGCATGTGGTATGCAGTACATTAGTGTGTATTCTGTGTTCTGACAAAGTCCAGAAGTCCAAGTCTCGCTTTACTAAACAATGCTGGTGTTGTTAGCACTAGATTGCTGTGTTTCATAGACTCAAACAACGATTTGTGTGAATGCTTATATTTCACCAAGCCAATATCTGTTTTGTCTTATCTCCATGAGGTGATATCTATTGTAATTTGACACTTCTGAAAAGGTTGAAGTAGGTAAGCGGCAATTGGCGTTCACCAAATTTGAACTTTCTGCGCTTTCCTGCTCTGCGCACTATGAACATCCTCAAAAAGCTCACACAACATACAGGAGCCTTTCATGGCGGTGGCACATGCAACAGTTTTTCCGCTATAATCTGAGTATGGCTTTAGTTTTGTTTAAATGTGTCCGACAAATCAAGTGACATTTACTGAGAGAGCTGTAAGAGAACATTTATTTTTACTTCAAGATTATTTTTACAGTATTCTTTGCTATCATTTATCATCTGTTTTATTTTTTGTATTTTATCCAATTCTTGTCATATAGATGTTTGTAATTTATAATAACTAATACACAGGTATCATTGAAAGCAGTGACATTTGATATGGTATTTATATTCTAAGGAAATGTATGAATCACTTGTTGATTGAAACTCTCGTGGACTCCTGAAAAACCAGATTATTGTAAAAATAAAATTATATCTTTTTGCTATTTTTGTATTACCCATACTATGCTGTAATTTGAAGATTAAACTTTTTTAAATGTAAAATGTTGGACTCTTTAATATGTGAAACTGCCTGTTCTAATATCATCACTATCTCTGGGGGAGTAATTAACCTTAATTTCATTGTTTTTCTTTTAGTAGCTTTGATTTATTTATGAAAACATCCCCTGGAGTTGAACAAAATGCTCTCCGTGGCATCATTTGAATTGTGAAATACCTGAAATTCCTTTGCAAACACTGGCAGACTGCCAAGGGAATCCATGACTATCTGTAAAATATTACTAAAACATCTTGGTATTTGTAATGAAAACTGCATGTCATTCCGGATCATGTGTCCAGGGGATCAAATCAAATAGCAATTACCTTTTATCCAAATATTTCTCAAGTTTCTATTTTAATTAAAACTGAATAGCTGTTGTCCATCACAACACAGCGAAGTCCAGAGCACTTTAATGCTCCTCTTTGGAGATTTTAATATTGTTTCCTGGGTGGTCTCTACAGCAGTACTAAGGAGGACTTTATTACATAAATGCTTGTCCAGCCAGTAAAATGAGCTTGTTAGCATCATTGCATGAATGCCTTATCATAGAAGCTTCTCATGGAAGCATTGCTGGGATGCCAACTGTCACATACTGTACCCAAAAACCCACCACAAGAACGTTGCACCCACGTGCTATTTCAGCAACCTACTGTAGCACACATTTCAGAAGGGAAGGGGGCTGCTTGCTGAAAAGCCAACATTAGGAAAACAAACATTACTTGTTTTTATTTTTAAACGAGCTGCCAACATTTTTAGGTACCAGTTATTATGTGTTCTAATTGTCCCAAAGCGTCACATAAACCAGTCATGAGAAATGTTTTGAAAATAAAGACATTGAAAATAGCTCAGCCAGAATTTATAGTGTAGACTAAAGCATATTCACTTTCCTTCTTTCCCCTTGAGCTGCAGTCTTTCAACATGTTGAACAGAGCAGGGATGACAGACGATATACGTTTACATAATATTTGCCTTTTCATTGCTCCAGAAGCAAGAGAATGGCACACACTTTTGAATTTTGATTGTCTTATGTTTTCTTCCAAAATGTGTTTAATGACAGCTATGTGAGCATGCCGTAACGCATTCGCTGCCCTGCAGTGGAACATAAAGCCTGCCAAAAGTGGTTGCGAAACCACCCTGCGCCACGACTCTGACAGGAATTTCCCATCGCCCCATTATCAGCATCAGACAAGCTGAGTGATTGCAATTACATCTGCCGAAATGCTAAGAGCAACTTGCTTTTCTCTTTTCCTTTCGGAGAAGTGAGGTATTATGAATAGCCCCATTGTGAATCTTTGAGGTTCTGTCTGCCCTGTAAACCAACATAGTGCAACGTGCTGTGTAGCTTTAATGAGGCCTTAATTATGAGATTCCTCTACCTTAGTGAGTCATTGGGAGATGGGTTTTAGCAACAAATCCTGTGTAGCAGCGTCGCTGAAACAAAGGGAGAGAAGCGCTAAATGTCATGTAATTTGACACACGTGTGACCAGTGGTAGAAGTGCTCAGATCTAGTATTTAAAGGTGCTATTTTTGCAAAATGTTCAGGTTCATATTTGTATTTTCTTTCCCTACTGTTACATGTCTAAATAAAAGCTCTTTATTTTTCTCACACTGCCTGTGCTGCAGCACCTCTTTTCACCCTCTGTCTGAAACCAGAGCCCAGTCTGCTCTGATTGGTTAGTTGTCCAGCTTTGTTGTGATTGGTCAACACGCTTAGAGATGTCCTGCCCCTTAGCCAATCATACAACGAGTTGAAGCGCTAACCAATAGAAGTGTGAGTGTTAAATAGTGATGTCACTATGTTGAGGAAGTAAACAAAGGAGTCCAATGGAGATGTTTCAGGCAAGGGGGGAGTGTGTGGTAGAGAAATTCTCTCTACAGGAAACCTTGTGATTTTAGTCTTTGCAGACCATTGACATGCACAAAAACCTGTATAACACACTACAGGAGAGGGAAAATCCCAGAAGGCGTAACATATACTAGTGGAGTAAATGTACACTATTTACCTTTAAATTGTAGTAGTGTAGAAGTACAAAGTAGTACAAAGTAGCATACAATATAAATACTCAAGTAAGGTACAATAACCTCAACATGGTACAGTACTTGAGTAAATCTTCTTTCTTACTTCACACCCATGTTAACAACACTGCATGTGAAATAAGAAAAACCCAAGGGAACTCAATCTAAATCACTTTTTTTTATTATTAAAAGTGCTACAGTTTGCTATAACTCACTATCAATCTTGGTTATGAGAGGCGACCATAGTTGGAGCACAAATATTAGGAGGAGGGGACGTTTTGGAGAGGGGCCAGCCTCCGTCCCGGACCCCATGCATTCTGTCTTTCTTCTCTGTACGTCAGCACTTCCAAACATGGCTACCTGCGGAGGGAACAGACAGGGAGACTCTCTCTTAGCCAGGCTCCTGTATATTATGTTTTTAGCATGCCTTGGATTTTTTCACAGCAGCCTAAGTTACTCCAAACAGAGCCGAGCAGTCCAAGTCCTGCTGATAGCGCGGCGGCCCTAAACAAACCTGTTGCTATGATACCGTCCCAAGTGGAGCAGAAGATGAAAGATTAATGCAAAGCAGTGGAGCTCATTACTTGCTGTTTTTCACACTAATATTATAACTGTGGTGCAGTGATTTGAAGGCAGACCTGGCAGCAAGGGGTCCCTTAACAGAAAAAGCAACGGGGTTTTTCCATTGGATTTTCAAATATTGCAGAATATTTGCTCTGTGGCAAAAACACGTGTTTGTGATACTCACAGGTTTTGTTCAGCAGGATTATCTCCACATACTTTACATTGTTTATATGATATGACTTAAAATGTAAATGCAATAGCCAGAAGTAAAAAGCTAACGTTAGGCTATAAACAAACTACATCTTAGAGCATGGCTGAGCATCGCCACCGCTAAGCTAATATTCACCACTAATCACTACCACTAAGGTGATGTTCATAAACTCATGTTCGGAGTGATGAAATAGTCTGATTTAGTCACTTGTTAGCAGCCAACGTTTCTATGAAATAGATGCTTTGGACATTCAATAGTGGGGTCTTTACTGACATATTTTATGTCATGAAACAAAACATTAAAATCTCTTAAAGTGCACCTATCATATAGGCAATAGCATAGGTCTCAGATATATAAAAATATATATAAAACATGTCTATGAAGTGTTTTGCTTAAAACACTAAACAGATCACCCATTCTAGCCGGCAGCTACTGTCTAAATTAAATACTGCCGTGATGAAACGCCATATCATGGATTACCAAGGATTGTTTCTGAAACAGTATGGAGCTCAAAGGCTTTCTCTCTTGCCGGTTATACCACAAGGTGAGTTCCTTTTTATTTCCTGCTTCTTCACACACATGCTCTCCAGTACAGGTTAGCTCTGAGTGTTAGCGATGCTAATGTAAACACCGACCATGTTACGTCCAAAACAGTCGTGCATTATTTCTGATACCAACTTTCTGATGGGGCCGTGGGTCCACATTTTCGATATTACGTCATATCGGACGCAAATCTGGATCAGCTCCGTTGTTCCCCCGTTTTTAGAGATTTGGGTACGGAGGAAAAGAGAGAGGGTTTTATTTTCTGACGCTGCGTGAGTTCCCTGACACACCGGGGACACATAGTTATGTATAAAATGCATGATAGGTCCCCTTTAAGCATGTGTTAACCACAGATCTTATTTCAGGCTTCTGACCAACATGCCTTTCCAAAAACGATTTACTTCGACAAGGGAACTGGAATTGCTAGACGGCTCACTCTTTTCTGGATATGAGGACTCATTCCTGCACCTCTTTATACTGTATGGTCCCTTTGATAAGGATCCTCAGTATTTTTACAGCGTGGCATTGCTACATTTACTTGCTTACCTCTTCCATTGCTGGTGATCCACGCTGCATTTGATTGTTTTGCTGTCATCACAATGATTTGTCAGTGTGTTTTAAATTTAAAGAGACAGATTTGAAACACATGTATTGCTTTCTGGTTGTTATTTCGTCCTCTACATGAAATGTTTGGCTCAGCAGCTTAATTATTGCGCAAGGGAAAAACAGCACCACAAACACAGATCATATTACCCTTATTTACCTGCACATTAAATGCCAAAACCATTTTTCCATAGCCCACGCAAACTGAATGTGTCACATCATCATCCGAGCGATGTTGCATCAATGTTGTCAGGGCGGTTTTAAAATCAGACAGCAGCCATGTAAGTATTTTCAGCAATTTAGTTCTCAAATTGCAGCTGTCAAGTGCAATTGTGGCTTCCCTCAGTCAGGCATGGCTCCTAAAAAGGTTTTTGTCTCGTGTCTCCGTCATGTCCACATCTCTGCACGTATACAGGTTCACTCAGCAACCTCGGGCGCGATTACACAAAAAGTTAAATGAGGACAAGGTAGACGTTAGAATCACTGGTCCAGCTTGACATTTACACACACACACACACACACACACACACACACACACACACACACACACTCCTCACAGCAGGCAGCAGGAAAGAGTCTGGTGGAGTTGGAGTGGAGACGGTGGGTTTTAATGACACAGTATCTCTCAGAACGTTGCTCCCATAATTACGCTCTGTCTGACGTGGATCTGTCGTTGGCATTGATTGTTTGTCCTGATGCCCACCTCCTCAGGGGGAGAAAAGTGTGTGAGTGTAGAGGGGAGGGAGGGTTGAGGTGGATGTTTGGATCCCCTCGTGCTGGACAGGTTGCATTCAGGAGCCCGTGGGAGGCCCAAACTGGAGCCATTGGTGAGATTGGTATCGTGTTAATGGCTCCACAGGCTCCAAGACACATAGCAGCAAAACCATAAGAGGCACTGGAATGTGCAGCTCTCTTGAATCATTGTCATAATTAGGGACAATTGCACACGCAGACCCGAGACCTATTTTGCTCCTTGTGGTGACTCCTCTCATGCCTCACTAGACTGCTTATGTCTGTGTGTGTTACAAGAATAAT